TATATATATACTGTATATATACTGTATATGTTTGCCAATATCGCCCAACCCTTCTACCACACCAAATATTGGCTCAATATCTGTCAAATTCAAAGTGGACTATCCTGCAAAATCTACTTTTTTTGCCTTTAAATACATTTGTGTAGATTTGTTGTGTACTTTRAGTCTGTGGCTGCGGAACTGCTAATCAAGGTCATGGACGTCCAGGGAACCAATTTCATGAATCCTCAGTTCTGCAGGTTCATTGTCTTCATTCTCCTCTCACTCTGGGTTGGATTTTGGCTCTAGCTTGTAAGGCTGGATGGACAAGTCTTCTGTTGTTGAGATCTTTGAATTAATTCAATAAAAAGTTTATCCACTGGTAAATAATCTTTATCAAACTGCAAACATGTCAGAATGTGCACAGTGATCACTGGGATCACAATGATGCTGCGTTCCAGTTGTACTCTGAGGTCAGACTTTCTGGTTTTTGAGTCTGACATATCATCTGGAACGGCCCCTATTTTCATAATTTCGAGTTGGGAAGTCGGTGCAACATGACCGTACACAAACACRCGTGACGTCATCATGTCAACATGGCTGCTCCTCACATCAACAGTGAAACACTTTACTTTTATGTTTTTAGCATTCTGTGTTGTTTACTTTACACTAAGCAAGTCGTACTTGTAGTGCTTTGTAGTGATTACTATAAGTTTTAACGCCGTTTGTACACTCAAAATGCCACGTAGAGTGCTACAGTTGTGTTGTTGTTGCTTTATTCTGTCACAGCAATTTGACGCTCTGAACTGGAACGCTTACAACTCGTAACTGACGTCAGCCCGACTTCATAAATCAAGTTCCAACTCAACTGGAACATAGAATTATACCTTGAGGGGGGCGGGTTCGAAGTGGCCTATTTGCAATTTGCGTTTAAAGAGGCAGCATCAAAACGAGTTGCTCTCAGACACACCTCAGAACAGAGGTGAAAGAGGGGCTTGTGGAGTTACAGTAAGGAGGAATTCAGACCAAAGCATTACAGTTCTACTTTATAAAGACCCAAACTGAATGATTTAAATGTAAAAAAGAATTTAAAAGCTTGACATGTCCATTTTAATAAGTTGTTGAGGTTTCCTAAGGCTGTTTAGCAGTGGCAGCCATTTTAARAGAAGCTTACTCTAAAAAAATCTCCTTTTTTAAACGCTTCATTAAAAGCTTTCCAGTGGTTGAGTGGATGAGATATTTTATTAACAAACAGATAAAGGAACACATGTAGTCACAAGCAAAAATAGTATTATTATTTTGCCTTTGGGGTTGAGTGATAAAAAGYGTCAAACCTGCAGGTTGAGCTTTTTCTCGTTCGCTTTAATGATGAGCTTTTACAGAGCAGCTTCTCCTCTGAGGAACTGCAGGAAAAGTGGGCGACGTGTCCAAAAGTGAAGTAAAAGTATTTTGCATGTTTTTATCATGCTCCTCATGGATAACTCACAAGTGATCTGACTCTAAAAAARATGATATGCATCTTTAATGAGAGCTCAACTGCTGAATGAGTAATGTTGGAGAAATCCAACTCTGAAGACCGGGGAAAAAACGAAAGAAAAGATCTGTATGCAAACAGTGTGTCACTGCAGAATTCTTAATCTGGCACCTGACATTTCCGTAAAACCATCTTTAATAGTTTGAAAGGAATGAGAGACCCTAAGCTGAAGTCATCACTGATGTYGATCAGCTGCTCAGATGGAAACAAACATTTCCACGGCTGATTGTGACTTTCTGTAAGTCCCTGCAAACACTGGCCAGCTCGGTCTCTAACACTGATTGCATGACCGAGATGCATTGCAGAGGATCTTTCAGAGGTGAATGTTACAGGCTGATTTACAATTTATGAACTGCTTGCATAAGCTTTCCCACCTCTGTCTTCCAACCCCTCAGCTTGATTCATGAGGGAGATCTGGATTCAGACAAAGACATTAACCAACACAAATGCTGAGTGACTCATTTTCAAATGGCAGATTTCTTCCCACCGGCTTTATAACAGGTCTTTTATTTAATTTATGTATAAATGCTGCATTTCAGCAAGTCGCTTTAGTTTTTTTTTTTTTAACTTGTAAAGCTGAGTTGGTTTGTTTCTGAATTTGATCAATATTTTCTATAAAAGATGAATATTTAAAGGTTTGCTAATGGTTTTATGTGACTAACTCTTTGTATTCCTGTTCTTATTTGATTTTTTTAACAGAGAGCTGACATAGCTGTGGCTCCACTAACAATAACTCTGGTCCGGGAGGAGGTGATAGACTTCTCTAAACCCTTCATGAGCCTGGGCATCTCTATAATGATTAAGAAGCCTCAAAAGTCCAAGCCCGGGGTGTTTTCCTTCCTGGACCCTCTGGCCTATGAGATCTGGATGTGTATAGTTTTTGCCTATATTGGCGTGAGCGTGGTGCTCTTCCTGGTGAGCCGYTTCAGCCCCTATGAGTGGCACCTGGATGAGAACGACGAGGCCAAAGACCCTCAGAGCCCCCCCGACCCACCAAATGACTTTGGGATTTTTAATAGTCTGTGGTTCTCCCTGGGYGCCTTCATGCAGCAAGGATGCGATATCTCACCAAGGTTGGTTGCTGTGTTCACCCCCCCACCACCACCTCTCAGAATGCCCCTTTCATTTCTTTGCATTTTATAGTCCTAACCATGCATTTCCATCCTGCAGTGGTGCATATGGGTTATTTTGAGCTGTAATGTTGCCTCTGCCCACCTCATGCCTCACTTCGCTGCACGTTCCTCTCATTTCGTCGTCTTTGAGCGAGAAGCTCGTCTTCTCCGTTTGCTTCGACGCTGCATGCTGACCGTGATGCTCTGCATCCACAAAATAACTTCTATCCACCATGCTGAGGGCTGTAAAATGCACAGGGGTCATTACACTTCATTCAAAGTAACAGCTTGACTTTCCCCGAGATTCTTGGAGGGCTACCGTGTTTTTGCTGCATGTCTCATTTTACGGTCATCAACTTGGCGTTTATAATGTATTTTGTGTGGGGAAAGCATCATAATAAACACATCACATACTGTAATTTACAAAACAGCGTTCAGCTTCCCTTCATTCACCTACCTATCCATTCATCCATCCATTCATCCATCACATTACTGCTGTGATGTCTTTGTCTCCAAGGATTCTCTCCTCCAACATCACTTTGACTGTGAAAGATCTGAAAGTCTTACAGACTGGTCCTGTTCACAGTTTTCAGAATAGATTACCAGCACAAAGAATAAAACGTTACAGATTCTGGGCTTTGATAGGCGAGGTTTATTTCTCAGCTGCTTGTTTAAAATTAGATTAAAGCGAGCCTCGCTTTGTTTCCAGCACAAACTGAACTGCAAACATTTTCACTGCGACGTGTTAAATTGAAAGCTTGGTGCAACTGAGGTAAGTTTTTTTTTATTAGCAGGTTGGTATTAAAACTGATGTTTGCTGCTGCAGTTCTGTGGCTGTAAAAGCTAGAGTCAGTTTTACAGAATGACATGCATTCTGGCTTTCAGACATTTAAAAGTGCAGGTTTGTGTTTTTTGTGAGCATAAACTTTAATTTTGTGGTATTTTGTAGAAAGTTAAAAACAATCAGTGTCGTCCTTTTTGTCGATTCGTCTGTGAACAACTTCAATTTGATTCTGATTGATGAGCTAACAGTCRGAGCATGTACAATAGGGTCCAGATCAATTTGTTGTAAATATTAGCTTTGTAGTTTTGGTCACTTTGTACTCATATGTCTTTGACACAAAATGAACTTTGTTCTAATCTCTTTGTACCAACTTTTATCCATTTTGTACCCACCTGGGCTGCCATCTTAACRCTGATAATTTAATCTACCAGAGTACTTGGACAAGTTGTATTATTATTATTATTATTATTATTATTATTACTTGTTAGGCCTGTCCATTTGCTGCTGTAGCCCTGAATGTTTTGTGAATAGTCCCAAATCTCTGTAATTAAACATTAGTGATAAAACAGAGTTCTATTTGAATCAGGCATGAAGGTTTTAAAATAAATTAATGTTTTTACTTAAAAACATGAACTAAGTTGTGCTCTTTCTGTATTTCAGACAAACAGCAGTTGCTTCAGAAACTTTTACTTTCAGTTTGTGAGTGGCACATTGTGTAATTTACAGACCATGACTGAGCTGTTGCATCACACAAATATTTAAATACATTTCTATAGCTATTTGCTAACTCACATGGTAGCAACGACAACTAGCTGTAGCACTATGTGCAGCTCAAGGAACTTTCATCAGCAATATCATTATATTTCTACTACATAACTAATGTGACACTGAAYGTTATTTAAACGTTCAAATTAAAAGTGTTCACATGAAAAGCTATAAATAAAATTTGAGATGAGTTGTTTGAAATCGACCGTTTTGCATTTTGGTTTTGACTCTATTGTGACCAGCTGTTAGCTCATCATTCAGGTCAAAGTTAAACTTTTTTTTCAAACTGAGATTGTTTAAAAGTGATACAACAGGTAAGTCATTAATCATTTATTACTACATTACAGAACCTTGATTGAAAAGATCTGAACTGTCATTTCCTTTGCTGAAACAGTGATTAAATATTAGATTAACACCAGAAAACAGGATGAGTTCAATTGCAACAACTGTTAAATGATCCTTTTACTTCAAACAACTTTGGTGTAAATTGTGTAGAGATGTGTCATTTGTGAACGATACGATTTTTTTTGAATGGCTCCTTACAACAAACAATAGGAATTGAGTTGCAGACAGTAAAGAGCTGTATATAGTTTTTATTTATTTTTTTARAGCAGTGGAGTACAGCAGCTCAGGAGGAGGAGTATAGGTTTAACCAAACACACGGCTCCGCCCACGTGACGCAATGACATCATCACGTAGGGCTCTTTTGAACATTTCTATGAAACAAATGACTCATTAAGATCCAGATCTCTTCAGAGAATCTTTTATCCTTCTGTAAAATTGTAGTAGTGACCATTATCTAATAAATAAATAAGTACATTGTACCAATTTGCCCATTCTTTATGAAACCAACAATAAAACAAACTTTCTGCTCCATCCATATGTTCTTTGTGTGTTAAATAGAAAACCAGTTTATGCTTTATTCATTAAATGGAGTGAAACTAAGAGTTAATGGAGCTTATTATTGCTCTTAACAAAGCAACTTAATCTGCAGCAATATCGACTTAATGATACTTGCATTAAATTAATGTGTGAGTATGGATCACCAGAGGGCAGACAATACTTTTACTGCCCAGCCGTTAATAGAGCAACATGTTCACAAGTGTAACTTAGGATCAGGCCAGAGCTAAACTTCAGAGCAGACTCCCACCCCCACATGTATATCTGAGCATGCTGCTCTCTTGTCTCTGTCTGCTTTTCCTCCTCCTCCTCCTCCACACAGGTCTCTGTCCGGCCGTATCGTCGGGGGAGTGTGGTGGTTTTTCACCCTCATCATCATCTCTTCCTACACGGCCAACCTGGCTGCCTTCCTCACYGTGGAGAGGATGGTGTCTCCGATCGAGAGCGCCGAGGATCTGGCCAAGCAGACAGAGATCGCCTATGGAACCCTAGACTCCGGGTCCACTAAGGAGTTCTTTAGGGTGAGTGTCTGAGCTGATTAAAAAAAAAACACAGAAGTTCCTCTTGCTTTACGTTGGCCAAAAGCTCAAAGCTAAACAAGCCCCTGGAGCTTTCCTTTGGGGTTTTGATTTATTACCTGTCAGGTAATAAATCGTACGAATAATCAATAAAAAAAGCCCAGAACTGTATTTTCTTCTCTTGAAACAGCTTTTCTGAAACACAGAAGCAAGTTGTACTAAATCTAAACCTGATTAATTCAGTTCATCATAAAAAGTGCTTCACTGTGTTTTCTATAATGAAATTAGGAATTACTAAAACATCTGAACCTAAATGACACACATTTGTCTTGTTCGCTGAGTTGTAGAGCTTCACTTTGTGACAGAGAGTTCAGATGAGCTCATATTTCCTTCAGTCCAACTTTTGTAACGTCAAAAACTGATTTAGACTCATTTTTTTTATTAGAGTTTACATTTAGTGGGGGTAATGTCTGAAATCTGTGTCCACAAACGGCATTAGCCTTAAAATTAACTTTGGTTTCTCCATTAAAGTAAAACATTTTTCATTTTTGAACCTGGGACAATTATTCTTTCTCATGAGACTCAAATTTATTTTTATGGTAACATCAGCGAGCGGTTTCAAAATCACAAAAGACTGGAATAAATCTTAGACCGTTATATTTCAAKTAGCGTTAGTTTATTTTCTGCCGCCGACTCTGACTGACCTGGATGTCCACACCTGGTTTAGATGAAAACGATGACAGAAGATAAAGTGAGGAACGTCTGAGTTTGTCACTGCGTCTCTGACGTCTTCATCCTAACATTAAATAATAATATCACACATCAAAGGCTTTTTTGTACTGCGCACCAATTTATTATGCAAATGCCATTTTTCTCTAATGTTCCTAAATAGTCAGTGCAAATGACAGTCAGCTTAACTTTCAAGTTTCATTAGAGTATAATTCCAATTTTATTTAAAAAAAAACTCATAATTTTTTTTCAAAAATAAAAAACTTCAAAGGCACAGTTCARATGATTACGCACAAACATTTTATAGGTTTTAAAGAACAGAAGGTCATTTGTTGACTTTGCAGCAGTAGATCATATTCAACGGGTCAAGTTACATTTTAACATCAGATCCATTGAACTGGTGACTATTTTTTAAGTTTCTGCTTGAATTGCAGGATGTCAGGAAAAAAAAACCTCCCAGATGTGAGCTGCCTCCTCAGAGATGTTTTAGGTTGTCATCAAGGGTTGAGTTCAGGGGGAGGATGGGAGGGCCGCACCATGCAGTTTATTGTAAAACAGAAAAATTAAATGCAATGTGCGTAATAATTTTGAACGCAGTGTAATATCCTGCAGCTCTACATGAGACCACTTGTGGAGGCATGACACAAAGTTTGATTTTAATGGTCACCTGCCGCTAAAGGTTCAAGGTGCAATAAGGTGTTTGTGTGTGCTCATTTGTCTGACATGAGCAAAATACCTCATTGAGCACCGGATGGATTTTAAAAAAACTCAGAAACTAATCACCAGATGAGCATTTAGAAATGAGTATTTTTTGGAAGCACAGCAAAATAATCTTAAAGGAGACATATGCTTTTAAATCTTTTTTTTCTGCATGTAAATCCTTCAGTTGGGGTTTTTATAAAGTGGAGCTGCAGCTTTATTGTAGCTCCACAAGCCCCTTTCACCTCCACCTTGTTCTGCCATTTATGTAGTTTTACCGTAATGCTAACAAGTTGAACAAATAAATAACATGTGCAGAAGGCAGCATGAGTTGTGCGAAATGTTATAGTGAGATCGGGCCTTTAGCAACCACAAAATGACCATAAGTCAGTCAGTTTTACACGTATGGAGCTGACGTCTTGTATGTTAGTAGCTGAGGGTGATTCCTAACTCGTATCCTGAGCACTTTTAGCATTTTTGCTTTAAATCTGCAAAACACCTGAAGCATTTGTAGAGCCTGTCGGTGGATGAATCAGTTCAAAAGCTGTGTGTCAGCTTGGCTCAGTGATTTAGAGGTGAAAGGTCAGGTTTTGATCAGACTAACTGTTGTAGAAAAGTTTGAAGTCCTTTAAAATGTAATTCTAATTTTCAGGCCTCTTTTCCCCAAAATGCAGCCTCAGAGACGACGCGCTCTTCCTTGAAAATAGAAATGACATTCACATCCAGCGTCCAGCTTAGAGCTGTTTCTATTTTTAGCCTTATTTGTTCTCTCGGTGTGGTTGCTCGGAGTGAGCCTGCAACATTTGATAAAGACAGAACCGAGCTCTCCTTCAAACACGACAGGGATCCGGGGGGCATTTTTGCATTGCTTCCACAGTCTGCATCAGTCTGCATCAGTCTGCAGGGAGATTTAAAAAAAGGAAAAAAGAAAAGAAAAAAATCCCATCTAACAATCTCCTTCGAGATTCAAAGAGCATAAATACAGCAGGTTTCTGTCTGTTAGGTTTGATTATCTGCTGCTGCCGGCAGGAGAAAATGTTTTATGTTAACATGATAAAAAAAGAAATGCTTGAAACAACTCAGAAAAGACAAAAGAGACAACATCGCTTTATGAAATATTCTTGTTTTTGTGGGTTTTGCTCTGGGAGGGACTGATTTGGTTGGGATTGTGACCAAGACTTTCTGACTTTGTGACTCAACCCGTCTACGAAGGCATCCAAGCAGAATGATCCCAAGTGCCAAACTTTCCTGAAACTCAGTGAAGTGAAGCGAATTCTGTGGCCTGTGGTGCTTTAAGAAATGTGCACAATCGGTTGATTGGGGGAGAAATATATAAAATCTCTAAGATCTTTTTAAGGAAAATTTGGAAACATTGACGACATTAAGTCACAGAGCTGACAGAATCAGAATTAAGAATGGATTTGAGGGAGAAACTGTTAGAGCTGGATAAACAGAAAAGAAAATAATTTTATTAAGATCTGTTCGAGTAAAATAAAAACTTATTTTTCAATTTATCTCAAGTTAGAATAAGCAGAATAAGAAATAATTAGTTCAGAATGACTGATGGCTGATATACAGTTTATTTATAAATGCTACAGTAATCAAAGTGAAACATCGATAAATCCAGATATTAGATGGATCCTCAGGGTGCTGAATGAAACATTCATTTTTATGTTTTTATGATCTTCAGGAGGATTTTAAAAAGCCATTCAGCTTGAAATCAGAGTTTTATTAAMCTTTAAAGTTATATTTTACCTAAAAACATTTCATCTCATTTTCTCCATAAATGATGCATTTTCTTCAACAAAGAGCAGGAATTCAGCAGGTTTAATTAGAAAACATTTTAATGTAGATAAGAATTAGTTTGAAGTCCAAATAGAAAGTGTATTTTTTTCACAATTTAAAATGACTTGTTCAGATTAATCACACAAAATGACAGAAGCCTCAAGTATTAAAATAAGCATAACTTGTAATCTGTTGACAAATAACTTTCTGAGTTTACCTGAGGATGGAGGAGAGAATCAGCCGAGCTGCAGAACAAAGTGAACGACCTCTGGAAGCTCAGCTGTCTCAGCTAATACACATTAGTTCAACATCTACAAGCGTTTGCTCCTCAGCCCCGCTGCTGACTGACCTTACCTTTTAACTGTCTACAGAAAAACCAAAATATCACCATTTAGCTTTCTTGTTAAAAAGTAGGGGAAGCTTGGAAGCAGTTTTTATCTCCTTAAAGTATAAAAAAAATAGTTTGACATAAAAAGTCACTACACAGTCCTAACAGAGGAATTCTGTTAAGGAGAATATTTGAACAAAGCCCCGAGGTTCAATAAAATTATGACAAGATGTTATTTTATCCTGACATTTGTGTAAGACTTTTGTGATAAATGATTATAATTTTCTAAAATATTTCTCTCAATTATTATCCAAGGAAAGAGGAAAGTCCAGACAACCATAAAACCAAAACTATTAAGACTGAGGAGGACAGACAGCCACTCTACAGATATAGACTTTGTGACGAACACCTACGTCATCCTCTCACAAAGCCAGATCCGCTAAGTAGCTTTTCATAACAAACCACAAGGCAGGAAGTGTCAGGGATTAAAGTAAAACGGGATTGATTTTAATTAGTGTGTTAAACAAGCTGTGATCTTGTTTGGTTACTTCATTCGTTTGTTTTCACTGCTCATTAACATACAGTCAGTGATTAACTATGCATGTTGCTAAATGTTGTTTGCAGATAAATATTTAACTTCAGAGAGAGCCTGCAGGCTTTATTTGGCCTCTTGATTCTAGTTTTGGGTAATAAATATTGTACACACAGAGCCATGAATCACTCTGAAGCACCCAGATAAACTTGTAGCTGCAAAAACAGCCAGTTTGTACAGGATCAACAACAAATATTCATTTTACGCTGGCACATGTCAAACTCAAGGCCTGAGGGCCAAATTTGGCTCTTGTTAACATTATATTYGGCCCTAAAGGTAATACTTTAAATGTGAAAGAGTTTTATAGTTTCTCTTTTTGTCTCTGGATTTAGTGCATTCTTCTAATGACAGCTGGCCAACTTTCAAAACAAGAAGTTTAAGTTTGAAGCTTTCAGCAAAGATGTGGCAAAAAAAAGAATACAGCATAAATGTAGCTAAAATGGCAGTAAATCAGAATTAGCATAAGTGTTGCCTGACGGAATTTTTTTTTAAATTGAAAGAACAAAAACAAAAAACAAAAAAGCAGAAAAAAAGCTGAAAGGAACAAAAAGATATTGTAGCTAAAATAGCAGAAAAAGCTAAAATTAGAAAGAAAAAAAGGATGCAGGATGAATGATGGATGCTGAATAAAGCAGAACCCTGGTTCAGAGATGAGCAGCTTGTCGTATCCCGACTGCTCCGGTTTAATCAGCCAATAATTCGAACCGTTTGTTGATGGGTGTGCGATTGTCAGGCCGGTGCTGGGAGGTTTCTCAGCCGTTGCATCAGTCTGACAGCATGAAGACTCGCAGATTTCAGCACAGATGACCAGCCTGCTCCTGACAACCACACGTCTTCATGTGGGCCCAGAAAAAGAACTGCCTGTTTTCA